TAAAATAAGACCTACTCCGAAAATAAGCGCTAGTGAAGGTCATCATCAGCCTGAGGGTGTGTGGCCAGTATCAGAGGCGGCGAAGGCGCGGGGGCCAATGGCGTCCGGCCGCTGCCTGCACAGCTGAGGTGAGTTGATTACCTTTCCAGCAGGTGGGGAAGCAAGCGATCCAGATACACTATGCGGACCGCAGGAAAGTGAAGAGGTGGGCCAGAGCAGGCAGGTGGCCACAGGAAGCCCGTCTTTGCGTGGCAGCACCAGCAGCAGACAGAGGCAGGGGGGCACGGGGGGGGGGGGGGAAGGCAAGTGATCGGATGCTCGCCACAGGTAAACCAAGAGATATGAAAATGAGCCTCCCGTGGCCACCCACACATTCCATCTTGGCTTGCCTGTGGGCCGTGCAGTACATCCAGATTACGTGCTTCCCCCCCGCGCCTTTGCCACTGTTAGCTGCTTGGACAGGTAATTAACTCACCTGGGCTGCACAGCCCCAGAGTGCTCTGAACAAGAGGCTAGTGGGCTGCAGCTGCTGCCAGACAATGTTGCCCCCTGAACTCTCTCTGCCTTTTGTGCGTGCACCAGGGCACCCAGCCGAGCTGGTCATCCTGAAATCATGTTTTTCAGAAAATAAGCCATAGTGCTTATTTTGGAGCTCAAAGCTATATCCACAATTAGGATCAGTTGACCTGGCACACTTTCAAATGAAAATACTATCATTGAATATTGAAACTCGGGGGCTCTACAGGTAGGTCTAAAGAGGGATCTGGCAACAAACCTAGAAAGTAATTGATTGGGTGCCTGTTACTGCTTATCTCTTCCATCTCATTAAACAGACTCCCATTGACTTTCTTGAAAGACAACCTGCTTGGTAGTTGTAAGTTTGGCTAGAAGGTTTAGGGGATAGGGACTCATTCAACTATGAGAGACCTATATGTGTTCCACCAGGCAAGGTTTTAGATCTTTTATGTCCTTGGCTATTTTCCAAATTTCACTTGGGAGACTACGCTTTCCAACTCCTAGTTCAACCCCACCTATTGAATGCACTTAGGTTGAGCTAAATGAATTCAGAACTATTAGAATACTTACATTAGGTGCCAAAGGGTCAGTAATAGTTAATCTTACAATGCAGAAGACAGGCAATACAAATATTCCAATACACAATTATATGTGTTGCACCAAGCAAGAGACAGCACTGTAAAGCGTGACACTGATCTCTCCTGGGAATACTGCCTTTTGTATGTCCCTTTTATGTTATGTGCTTTATCTCTGATGTTCTGGTGGCAGAACACAAGTTGACATTACCAAAGTAATGTCATCAGCAGAAGTTGGAGCAAATAGTTCCACTCAAGGAGAAAATTATGAGGCCAAGGATTGTGGTGCAAGTTACTTTACTATGTTATGCTAAATTTATACATTGTTCTTCCATTTCCACACATCTTAGTTTCAACTTTTGTTGTTACAATGAGTTATACACTAAAGGAAGAGCTAACCCACAATCACATAAAGTCAGTACTTGAGACTGGAGGAAGTTTTCGCTACAGAACAGGAAGAAATCTTAGAGGAAATTGAGTTAACTGTTTCCTTTTGGTGGACAGAAAAATACTTCCCAGTAAGAAATATATTGCTGAAGGCTTTTATACTTGTTTCACATAGAAAAAATGAGTTCGAAACTACAGGTGAAACTCGAAAAATTAGAATATCGTGCAAAAGTTCATTTATTTCAGTAATGCAACTTAAAAGGTGAAACATATATGAGATAGATTCATTACATGCAAAGCGAGATAGTTCAAGCCTTGATTTGTCATAATTTTGATGATTATGGCTTACAGCTCATGAAAACCCCAAATTCATTGCAAAAGAAGTTGGATGTTCCCGAAGTGCTGTATCAAAGCACATTAATAGAAAGTTATGTGGAAGGGAAAAGTGTGGAAGAAAAAGGTGCACAAGCAGCAGGGATGACCGCAACCTGGAGAGGATTGTCAGGAAAAGGCCATTCAAAAGTGTTGGAGACTTTCACAAGGAGTGGACTGAGGCTGGAGTCAGTACATCAAGAGCCACCACACATAGACGGATCCTGGACATGGGCTTCAAATGTCGTATTCCTCTTGTCAAGCCGCTCCTGAACAACAAACAACGTCAGAAGCGTCTTACCTGGGCTAAAGACAAAAAGAACTGGTCTGTTGCACAGTGGTCCAAAGTCCTCTTCTGATGAGAGCAACTTTTGCATATCATTTGGAAACCAAGGACCCAGAGTCTGGAGGAAGAATGGAGAGGGACACACTGCAAGATGCTTTAAGTCCAGTGTGAAGTTTCCACAGTCTGTGTTGATTTGGGGAGCCATGTCATCTGCTGGTGTTGGTCCACTGTGCTTCATTAAGTCCAGGCTCAATGCACCCCTCTACCAGGAGATTTTGGAGCACTTCATGCTTCCTTCTGCAGACGAGTTTTATGGGGATGCTGACTTCATTTTCCAGCAGGACTTGGCACCTGCCCACCCTGCCAAAAGTACCAAAACCTGGTTCAATGACCATGGGATTACTGAAGAATCTATGGGGCATTGCCAAGAGAAAGATGAGAGACATGAGACCGAACAAGAGCGGAAGAGCTGAAAGCCGCTATTGAAGCATCCTGGTCTTCCATAACACCTCAGCAGTGCCAAAGGCTGATAGCATCCATGCCACGCCGCATTGAAGCAGTAATTGATGCAAAAGGGGCCCAAACCAAGTACTGAGTACATATGCGTGCTTATACTTTTCAGAGGTCTGACAATGGTCTATGTACAATCCTTGTTTTATTGATTTCATGTACTATTATAATTTTCTGAGATTGTGAATTTGGGATTTTCATGAGCTGTAAGCCATAATCATTAAAATTATGACAAATCAAGGCTTGAACTATCTCGCTTTGAATGTAATGAGTCTATATATTAGTTTCACCTTTTAAGTTGCATTACTGAAATAAATGAACTTTTGCATGATATTCTAATTTTTCGAGTTTCACCTGTACAAGCAGAGCAGTAGGTTGTGATGTTCCTGTATTTGTAGCTTTGTATAAACTTGAGAAAGCAGGTGGCACTTTCCATTGCGTAAGTATTTTTGCTGAATTGCCTGCCATGTCATGTAAATATTTGACAAGAGAATTTAGAATGTACTGAGTGGGGGATTACATAACCTGGATGTGAGTTACTAATTTGGTTAATGAACAGAAGCCAGTAATTGCAATGCAGTTTTGTCTTGTTCCTAATCAGCAGCATATAGACCAGTAACACAAAAGCAAATCTCTTGAAATCAGTGCCAGTTTATCTACTGATTTTCTGCACTTTGGTATTGAAATTCTGTATTATTCAGCCCATGCTGTTCCGGAATATTTTGGAGGAAAAGAAGGAATTAAAAGACTGCAAATAATCTTCTGCAACCATTAGATCCACATCTGCTAAATATTTTTAAGATATAAAATCTTTTACTTCCCATAGCATGATGATAGATTGGTGTCTAAACCAGGGGTGAAATGTAAAATTTGTTACATTTCTATGGGTCTGGCTTGGTGGGGCGAGGGTAATGTGACTGGGTGGGCGTGGCCAACTTTTTTTTTTCAACTTTTCAAAGCATTTTTTCTGCAAATGCAAAAAAATGCTTTGAAGAGCCTCTGCCGATCAAGCAACACAGCTGGGATCATCAGCCTTTTCGAAGCATTTTTTAAACCCTCTTCCTCTGAAGAGGTTGCAGAAAAAAATGCTTTAAAAGTCTCTCTGACGATCCCAGCTGAGTTGTCTGATTATCAGATATTTTTTTAAAAGCCTATCTGACGATCAAGCAACTCAGCTGGGATCGTCAGAGGCTTTTAAAAAAATGCATTGAAAAGTCTAACGATCAGGCAACTCAGCTGGGATCGTCAGAGAAACTTTTAAAGCATTTTTTTCTGCAACCTCTTCAGAGGGAGAGGTGGTTAAAAGAATGCTATCCCAGCTGTGTTGCCTGATCGGCAGAGGCTTTTCAAAGCATTTTTTAAACCACCTCTTCGGCGGAAGAGGTTGCAGAAAAAAATGCTTTGAAAAGCCTCTGACGATCCCAGCTGAGCCGCGCGATCATCAGAGGATTTTTTTTATCTTTTAAGAGCATTTTTTCAGCGGAGGAATTTGTAGAAAAAATGCTTTTAAGTTAAAAAAAGAAAGCCTCTGATGATCGTGTGGCTCAGCTTAGCATGGTGGGGTGTGGGGGGGCAGGGATTTTTGCTACCGGTTCTCCATACCACCCACCGCCATCGCTACCGCATCGGGTGATCCGGTCCGAACAGGGAGCATTTCACCCCTGGTTTAAACTCTATCTCAGACAAGGGACCTTTGTAGAAGAACCTTGGGATACCTAGTGGATTGTATTGCCACATGAAGAATGAAGCATATGTACTGTTTCTTTTTTAGTTCTTGATTTACAAAAATGCTTCACCATAAAGGGATCTTGGCTTGTTACCAAGGTGGGCAATCGTTTTCAGGCCAAGGGCAAAATCTAACATTGAAGGGTTAAAAGGTAAAGGTTCCCCTTGCATAGATGTGCTAGTAGTTCCCGACTCTAGGGGGCAGTGCTCATCTCCATTTCAAAGCTGAAAAGCCAGCGCTGTCTAAAGATGTCTCCATGGTCATGGCTGGCATGACTAAATGCCAAAGGCGCACGGAACGCTGTTACCTTCCCACCAAAGGTGGTCCCTATTTTTCTACTTGCATTTTTCACATGCTTTCGAACTGCTCAGTTGTCAGAAGCTGGGACAAGTAACGGGAGCTCACCCTATTACGTGGCACTAGGGATTTGAACCGCTGAGCTGCCGATAGATGGGGAATTTTCTAGATTTTTGAACTATGTTTATTAGGATTCGTATTACGGTACATGTTTTCCACTTTGCAAAAGCCATAAAAGTTTTTGTAAATTCTTACCAGAGGAGTTTCAGTGCCCATAAGTTGCTTATCCTTGATTTAGTTTAGGAGATATTAGTTCCACCAAAGAAAGAACTACATTTTTTAAAAAAAGATTTATTTTTACAGAATACTGTACAAAAAAAGATAAGTGTCGTTGCACAACAAACAACTTGGGTTTCACATTCAATTTGAATGTCCCTGCAAGTAGTGTCAAAACATCCACTATACCTGCATGGTATAGAAGCAGCAATCCAGTTTTATAGGTTTCTCCAGCGTAATTATTATTAAAATAATCAGCTAGATTTTTATTAGAAAGAGTTCAAACAGACATATTGCACCTGTCCCAAAAAATATCTTCCACTGCAGTTAGTTAACGGTACATTCTACATACGAGCCTCTGTTCTATATCACACTGCTAGTTTTTCTACCTGTTTTTCTTCATCTTGTCTATTCAACAGCTATAATAATGGCCTTCAGCTGATGTTTTGGACCCATAACTATGTAGGCTCTGATCCAAAGCTAAATCTGCAAATGGTACCTTTTTTCATTGGGCTTGTACATTCTTCATGGCAGCAATGGAAAAAATAATAGGAAGTACTTCAAAGCATGTGAGAAACATGGTGTTTAAACAATTTATATATTGCAGGGCCAAGTTAATGGTGCAACTGCAATTTAAAGCATTTATAAGGCTCTTTAATGACCCACTATATGTGCCAAATAGTTGGTTGAATGTCAAGGTGTCCTTAGAGGCAATGACAAATAGTATGAAGTTGTCTTACATCCTGTTTCTTTTAAGTTTCAGTTGAAATGTTACACCGAGTTCTTGCTGCTTGGCAATCTCACATTACATACTGTATTTCTTGAATGGGTAAGTGGCAGAGTTAATCCATGCTTTGCACTTGAGGAATTTCACATCATCTTTTTGCCCAACTCGGTTGAATGAGCACATTTACATTGTTATTGTGGGACACAGTTTGTGAGGAAATTAACCAGAGCAGACATTGTACCCAATCCTATAGTACTGTGCTGAATGGCTTCAATTTGAATTACAACATTAAATTGGTTTAATTTGATTTTCCTCAAATTGATTTGTAAAAATACTCTGCATGTCCAAACTCCCCCTCCAAGGCATCCAATTCAAGTCCATGTGAAAATGTTGGCATATAATTCAAGAAATGTTTTTTTCTGCTCACAACAGCTTTATTATGAGCAGATCTTTAAGTGAGGAGGATATGGATAGAAACAAAACTACCTGTAATTACTAATTAATTAAGCTAATTGGTTAAGCTAATTAAGATTTCTTAATACTTATAGGAAACCCCTACAGACTTCATTACTACAAAAGGAGATGCCAAAATTCTGATTTAGTGTAAAAAAAAATTTCTTCACTTAGTGATGTGGAATAGATGTTTGACTGGCCAGACTGTATACCTTGCACACCTTGAGAGATATTATGACTAGGCCAATGATATTTATTGCTGTTCAGAAATCAGCCCAATTGGAGTTTAATCATCCAGATAAGTGTGTATAGTACTGCAACCTTAAACATTTGTTAATAAAACCCAATTAATTTAGTACTATTGCTGATGTCAGTGAGACAACGTTGCAGCATTCTTATTTAAGGATGCTATGAAATGGGCTTAACAGTTTGTCAGGTCTCTTATTCACCAAAGTTTCCAAAACTACCGAGCTTGACTTCTGTTTTCATTATTGAATTCTCTAAAACACACTTCTGTTAAATTAATTTAAATATACTTTCATCCTTTATCTTATTACATATAGTTCATAATTATGCGCATACACCCCAGTAATGGAGAAATGATAATTTAAGCACATCTATCACCATCACCCTAAAAACAATAGTCTACATTTTGGGTTGTAACAAGGTTTCTAGATATACTCTAGCTTCCAACTCAAAACATAGTAACTAAAATATGTTTAAATATTTACAAGATGCAACTGGATACATTAAAAAAAAATTAAAAGCCAAATGCAAATAGTAACACAGAAAAACAAACCATAATCTAAAAATAGCAGGAAAGCATCTACATGCTGAACAGCATGACTGAGATACTGATCTTACTGCATACTGATCAAATAATAAAGCAGGCTGTTCATACACTGTACTAAAATATTCACAATTAGCAGGAAGAGGCTACAGGCTTCCTGACAAGTACTGCTAATTAACAAGAATGGTAAAAAGTGTAGCTTACATTATCTACAGAATGACTTGCGACAGGCTATTAAAATATAGAATCAAGGAAAGGCTTGTAGTTCTCCAGTTGTTGTTCATCTCCATCAGTTCCCATCAGGAGGACCACTGATCAGATGGTTGTAAATTATAAGCTAAAATTATTTGGAAAAACACAAGCTCCCCTAGGATAAAGTGCAGGAAAATGAAACAGATTTTTTTTTTACTCTACATTTACCAGGACAATCGGCTCTAAATCGAATATAGTGGTCAGACTGAGCAATAACCAGAACAGAGAATCCATCCAGACCTTTTAATGTGCGTTGAGAGAAGTATGCTGCTGGCCCTAGTCCTACGCTCCCAATAAACATGAAAGGGGCGTAACATCTGTGCATACAAGCCTTCATTATCTGTTCAAAGCTCCATTTCTTCTCTTCTTGTTTGAACAGAGTCTGAATAGGAATTTAGCATCAGGGTTGATAGATGTAGTAGCCATTTTGAGCTGTCTGCAATACGTTGAAACTGACTTCAACTAATGACTGCATTGGATTTCCTTAATAATGTGCTGGCTGGCTGGGGATTGTGGGGATTGGAGTCAAGGCTAACCGGAAAAATCCAGCAGATGTGGTTTGAGCACATGTTCAAAGGGCAAATCCTTTTATTGTCCCGAGTTTCTAGAGTCAACTCGGAGTCTTCCTAAAGCTGCTTTTAAGCTGCTTTTATAAATGAGATTTTTAAAAAGATGCTTTATACAGAATGTATACTCTTGGTATCCAAATATTCTTTAAAAAAAAAAAAGATGACATCTTACATGTAACAGGTACAACTTTATCTTCCAGTCAATTTAAAAACTTGAAGGTTGTTGGATCACTGGACCAGCCTCACATCCACTTAAATCGCCTCTGATCTGGCCATCCTCCGACCTCATATATGTAAGGAATATTGTAACAGTGGCAAATGTTGCAGCGTTAACAGGGAAAGCCCGAAGTAAGGTAGATGTAAGACCCTTTGTGAACACCCTTGGGCCTTCAGCCCGGTAGCTTTTTCTAATGCAGTCCAGAATACCCTGGTACCGTACAACGCCTCCGACTCCATCAGCCTGAAGGCGGGACTTGATGACATCCACAGGATACGTAGAGAGCCAGGAGACTATGCCAGACATGCCTCCTGCCAGAAGAAGTTTGGGAACAATGTAATTATCTTCCGCTTCGCACCCCAGATATCTTGTGAGGCAGTCATAGGTTAAAAAGTAGAAACCAAAGCTGGGGGTCTCTCTCAGAAACGTGGAAACCATTCCCTTGTTGATGCCTTTCAGGCCTTCCTTTCGATAGATCTTCACCAAGCAGTCCAAAGAGTTTTTGTAGTTCTTGGACTTCAACTTGTATTCCCCTGTTCCTTGCAGCTGCATCCGTGTCTTAGCCAGTTCCATAGGACAGCAGATCACACACTGAATGGCGCCTGCTGCTGAACCTGCAAGGAACTGATGTACAGGTGTGTCCTTTCCAAGAGCACGGAGAGCATTCCCTTGAACACCAAAGACAAGGGCATTGATGAAGGTGAGGCCCATCATAGGCGATCCAATACCTTTATAAAGTCCAAGAGCCTAGATGGAAAACAAAACAAACAAATAGATGATGAGCAGGAATGTTAAGACTTTTCTCAAGCAACATACAATAAGCTGTTAACATTCTGCAAATGTTTTGTTTTGCACATCAATAGATAGATCTCAATTATCCTTTAGGCATGGCACCCCTAGACTGGGACAGGACAACTTGCCCTACCCCAAAATCACATCCCAAAGATCTGCTCTTTTTTCAGCAGCAAAACAATTGAATATTTGTGAGCAACCCCCCAAATGCCAAAGATATCCCACAATTTCGAAGTCCACACATTTCAATGTGCAGCTACAGTTTTCTAAGGTTCTGCTATTTCTTACCCTTTATCAGGGGTTTCCAAACCCGTTTCCATCATGCATGCATAAAGGCATCTGCCCCTTCCGACCTCCGGGCCGTCAACCCAGAAAGCTCTGCCCAATATTACACTTTTTACACTTGGCAGCTACTTATTTAATATCAGAATATGAACAAAGCGTATTTCACCTCCCTAATCTGGATTGGATTCATGTTCTAACAAAACAGAGACCATTAATGATCAGGAGATGAACAACGATTACCACTAACTGCTGGAGTTATTATCAGTGCAAACTGGACTCCGTTTCTACTGAGCACATCCCTTTAGAAATCAAATGCACATCTTTATACAGCTATGAGGAACCTGGTGTTCCTTTCTATATGAATCCTGAAGTTTTCATCTTGCAAATGAGGAACTGAGATTAATAGTAGGAGCAAGAAAAGCATCAATATTGTGTGAGATTTGTTTGGGGGCATAAATGGAAATAATTCAGTGTTTCCCTCAAGCCTTCTAAAACTTTGAGGCAGAGATGGATACTAATGAAATTAAGCATCGTGCCATAAAACAGGAACACATTCATATGCATGGTCTACAGCAGTGGTGTCAAACTCGAGGTCTGCGGGCTGGATCTGGCCCGTGGCAGCTGCCCTTGAGACAGTGAAGGACCGTGCCTCAATCCCAGCCCAGGCCAACCAGGCACTAATCAATAACTTGATGGCCGCCATCAGGGCCTGGACACTGTCTTAGCCGTGCCCTTAGCAGGGCTAAGATGCCAGGGCAGCATCTTAGCCCTGCCCTTAGGCACTTGCCACCTCCTGTGTGCTTGGCCAGGACCAAGGCAGTGGGCATGGCTCTAAGGCTCACCGTGTTGGAGGCCAGATAGCCACCATCCAGTTATAGATCAGTACCATACCCATCACCAGTGCCTCCATGGCCTGTTTGCCAGCCTGGCCTTGCAGGCCATGTGGTTTCCTTTTCCCTGGGACCGTCCTGCATGGGAAAGCCACAGGCGCAGTAAGCAAAGGTACCGGCAGCACTGCCAATCTCTCCCCTTCCCCTCGTTCCTTCCTGAGTGCAGAGGAAGGAACAAGATGGCTTTCCGGGGAGGGAGGGAGGGAGGGAGGGAGGGAGGGAGGGAAGGAGGCAGGCAGGTAGGTACCGTGTTTCCCCAAAAATAAGACCCTATCTTGTATTTTTTTGAACCCCGAAATAAGTGCTTGGCCTTATTTTCAGGGAGGTCTTATTATTTTGGGGCACGTGGAACAAGATGGTGCTCATCTTGCCGTATTACCTGATTTCCAACTCTGCATTTAAATATTTTTGGGGAGGGCTTATTTTTGGGGGGAGGCTTGTTTTAACGCATGCTCTCAAAAGCCCGATTGGGCTTATTATCAGGGGATGTCTTATTTTCGGGGAAACAGGGTAGGTGGGAATGAGGAGGCAGGAAGTTAGCCGCCCTCCCACCCCGGAGCCACATCCACTGCGGCCACACACACCCAGCCCCCCAAGGTCAACCATAAACGTGATGTGGCCCTCAATGAAATCAAGTTTGACACCCGTGGTCTACAGTAATTACTATGCATATCTCTGGATATACTCTAAACTTGTATTGCAGTTGTTACTGCAATATTCCCACACAGCAATACTTCTGTTACAACTAGGTATGAGTGAATTTACATTTATTCTACCTGCTAGGAGTATCAAACATACACCCAATTTGCATCATTAAACTAAACTTAAATATGGATGGAACTATGGAAGAATGTCATTTCATGGTTTTGGATGACAGTGAAGCCTGAAAGGCCTTTGGAGATTATCAGCCACAGTAAGATCTGTGCCACTAGTGCTACTGCTGCTGTTATTGTTTTGTGGCTTGTTATGGATTTTACTGTACTATACTATGATATTTTCTAGTGAGGATGAGAGTGCAATATTTTTGTGCAATATTTCAGAATTTATCTCCAGAATTTATCTTTTGAACATGTACATAGCATCCATCTGCTATGCCTTAAAGGAGCCCCGCCTTTTCCCAAGATCATAGTTCTGTGCTTAGTATCTGTTATGTGATTCTGGGACATAACTGTTTTCAGAAGGCACAGGGAGATGTTACATTCACATTTCCACAATAACAAATACCAGTTTGTTATTGTATTCACCTGGATACCGTGTGTCTAACACTGCAATGCTGTATACACTTACCTGAGAGTAAGTCCTATTACACTCAGGATGCCTTATTTCCAAATAATCATGTATAAATTGAATCACAGAAATGTAAATATTTTAAGTGGGGCTTTCTTTTTTTCCTTTTTTTTCCTTCCCCAAGAAACTCAACATTCCCCATTTAATTAAGCATACTCACTTTCCATTGGCCACTTTTTAAAAAACTTTTGGTCTTTATGTCCTTAAATGTTTTTTTGTATCTTACTAAAGCTGGTCAACTATTGACACTCACTGCTAAAAGTTTAGTTATTAGAAAAAGCAGTTTAAAAAAATGTAGTAAAGTCTTGGTTTTGACTTAACCCAGACAAGACCGAGTGGCTGTGGGTATTGCCTCCTGAAGACTATGTCGACTGTCCATCCTTGGTTCAGGCGGGGGGGGGGAGAAATTGTCCCCCTCAGAATGAGCTCGCAATTTGGGTGTCCTTCTAGACTCACAGCTAAAATTAGAGCAACATCTGGCAGCTGTAGCTAGGGGGACCTTTGCACAGGTTCGCCTGGTGCACCAATTGTGACCCTACTTGGATCGGGAGGCTCTCCTCACAGTCATTCATGCTCTTGTCACTTCACGGTTAGATTATTGCAACGCGCTCTACATGGGGCTACCCTTGAAGAGTGTTTGGAGACTACAGTTGGTCCAGAATGAAGCCGCGCGAGCTGTCGTGGGTGCACCTAGATACACCCACATTACACCAATTCTCCACGAGCTGCACTGGCTTCCTATTGGTCTCCGGGCACAGTTCAAGGTGTTGGTTATTACCTTTAAAGCCCTACATGGCTCACGGCCAGGCTATCTTCGAGACTGCCTTTTACCGCATAGCTCCCAGCAACCGGTAAGATCCCACAGAGTTGGTCTCCTCCGGGTCCTGTCAGCTAAACAATGCCGGCTGGCGGGCCTGCAGGGGAGGGCCTTCTCTATGGCAGCCCCAGCTCTCTGGAACCAGTTACCTCCTGAGATCCAGACTACCCCCACCCTATTGGCCTTCCGGAAAGTGGTGAAAACCTGGCTTTTCCGGCAGGCCTGGGGCCATTGATCTTGCTGTTGCAATCTTGCGAGATCCGGCCATGAATGGTGTGCATGGGCTTTTAATGTTTTTAAAATGTTTTTAAAATGTTTTTTTAATAATTTTCCTATGTTCTTTGTTGTATTATTTTTTGCTGTAAGCCGCCCAGAGTCCCTTGGGAGTTGGGCGGCATAGAAATTCGATAAATTAAAATAATTAAATGAAATGAAATGAAATGAAATTAATCATTTCAGGTTGTGAGAAAGCGGATGGGTGACCACCAACAAGAGAAAACTAAGGTACAAGGAGGGTGAGGTTTAACCATTTACCATCAATCAATCTAAATATAGTAATTATACAATTAAAATGTATCCATCTATGTCTATCTTACAAAAATAAGAATAACACTGATTTGGATTCTATTTAAATCAAGCTGAGCCTGAATGCTTTAAGCTATATTACTATTTTTTATTTAATTTTTTTAACCTGTTGCAAACAAAAGTCTTGGTGAATTACAGTCACAGCAATAAATATTGGTATAAATAATAATTAAATTATATCTAAAATAAAATGAAGCAAAAGTTATGGTAGTTTGGTGAAGTGCTACAACATCTCTGGGGCAATTTGTATATGATCCTTATTATGGGAGGAGGCCATTCTTGACAGGTGGCCTGGGTACCTTCAAACTATTAGGTGGTTTTGCAGTTCCAGTACTACCAACACAATGTGTTGGGACCACATTCCTTTTATTTAAATAGCTCCTCCTCCTCCTTAAGGGCCTATCATGCACATTCATTCAGGAAGTTACTTACAGATTCTTGCTTTATGATAGACTGGAAACAATGTACAGTCCCACGGTAGAGTGGCTTCTCCATACTTTGAACTTGAAGACGTACCTATAAAATGTAATTAGAAATTACTGACATGGCAAAAAAATCAGCTGATAGTATGATAGTACCTTTGGGTGCATACACATAATGTAGTTGTGTACATGTGTGCAGGCATGATGCCACAATAAATTAAAGAGAACAGAGTTTGCGTTTTGGGAGCCACTCAGATTTATATCCTATATGGAATGGTCACTTGCTAGGATGTTAAATTATGATCTTCAGTGAGGAAAATCCTCATTTGGCTGTTCAGTTATTGCTTTAATTAGCACACCTGATGTTTCTAAAGAATTAAGTGTTGCTCATCTATAGAACCATGAATAGCTAAGCTCAAAATGTATCAGTCGTAAGTGTAAATGTTCCCCAGCCATAGAATTACATTTTTTTCTATAGGACCACAGCTGCAAGACTTTTACAAGCTTAGGTTCACAACTTAAATATGCCAAAAGTCTAAATAATCTTAGTATAATACATTCCAGCAATCTATACACTAGATTTACAGGGTCAAAAGATCCTGTTTGAAAGAACAATTTGGAACCTGGATATTTGAAAATTATTTAAGGATCTCAGACACTAACAATAGTTTAAACCTTAAGAGCATTGCATCTTTAGAGTAAGAGTTCCATTTTTGTCCCTATGTCATTTCTTAATAAAAAATCATTTTTATTAAGATGGTTCCTAGTTTTTCTTCTTATTTTGCAAAGGTGAGTAGCAATCGAATGTTGGCAATTCAAAATATTAAAAAGCATACCAAGAGTGGGCTCAGAAATCATTCCAGTAGCAATACCTAAAACTCATTAACACAAAGCAGTCATAGCTGTATGGGGAAATGAAAAATGGGTTCCTGATTTAAGGAAAGGCTGAAACAGAATTCACAATTTAAGAGGCTTTTGCTTGTTAGCACAGGTATACAAACTTTAAGCACAAAAGGGGACAAAGAAAAACACTAGAGAACAAATTGCAAAAGTTAGACTTTTCTTTAAAAAAAAATACAGATTATATTTAAAGGCATTACATACCCCACACCCTCCACTCTAGAAACAGTTTAAAAACTAAAAAAAAAAAGGGAAGGTACTTTTTGCTTGTTTATAAAAATTTGAACTAATCATAAATGTTGGAATAAATTAAGACCGAGAGAAACAGAATGTTCACCTGGTCTATACTTACTAGGTAACTCTCCCGTGATGAGGCTTATCTGTCATCTACAACAAAGTAACACTTTTGCTGTTAATGAAGACAGCCCCTAGCTCAAAAAGTAAAGGCAGTTAAGCAACAAAGCAATTGTACACATTACATCAACAAAGTGGGGCAGGAGTCTCCTTTTGAAGAGCTGGTTCCAAAACAGTTCAGCATCTTCCCCATTTTACAAGCCCTACCCTCCCCGTCCCACAAACCCAGCCTGCCTAATCGTTACAACTACTTGAAAGTTATTAAACTTTGCTTTAAATTAGCATTCAAGAGAAAATAGTGCCTAGCTACATTATTCAGCTTCATTAGGAAAAGACTGTCATATTAGGTAAGGCTTAACAAAGATTTAATAAATGTCTTTTCGTAAAATCAGTTGTTTTATTAAAATAAAACAACTAAAGCCATTAAAATAAATTAGATTAAAATAAAGCAATGATACAATCCTGTTCATATTTTCTTGAAAGCTAATCCCTCAGTGGGGTGCGCTTTCAAATACATCTGTCTGCAAAACAGATTCCCCCTCCTCAGTGTGAGTAGCCATATCACTGTTCCTTTAACAACACGGTAGCAAGCTAAGCATTTAAGATAAATGCTTTATAGGTATGTATATTTATAGAAGAAATTATTTATGTTTTCACGTTGAAATTGTGCGAATTATAAAAGTCTCTCGGCGATTTGTGATAAATTAAGTAACCTCCCAAATATGATAGAGTTTTCTTACAAAGCAAATGTATTGAACATATTTCCAAGAATGCATATAGCTTGGTCCCCAGGCACAGTTTGAGGGTATGTGATGCAATAATTGTTTTTAAACTAAGATAGCCAGTGAATATCCACTTAAACATCCCACAGATACCATGTTTGTGATAGGTGAAATATAAATACACCAAAACAATTAAACTAAAATAAATTTCAATTCAGGAGTGCCAACTCATTCTGTGAACCTGTCCATTATAATATATGCAGGATTAAGTGTAACTCCTAAAACCTACTCGTTCTGATAAGAAACAATGTGAAAAGAAGTTCTGAGCAATTTAATAGAATGAATCCATAGCAAAGATTATTTCTTGGCATGAAATAACTAGAAAATGCCAAGAAGCTCCATTTCTCAAGGCTTATATGGCTAACTATTCCTTTACTTTTTAAGGTTATACAGAGTGTTATTCAGCACATTTTCTCTTCAAAAAGGTTACGTAATTCTCATACAAGCCAAAATACTTGGATTTAAGTCCATTTGTTTTAATTTATATTCTTAGCATACAGCTTCACCCTGCACATTCATATTCCAAAATAAACCCCATATATTTTAGTGAGGGATTCCCTGAATTAAAAATGCAAATATGTTTGCAACTTGAAATCCTTGTAGTCCCATTATTAGTATCTTATTTCACAGTCCTGTTTTGAATATTATTTGACTTCCTTACAGGCGCAAACATTACCCAAATTCAAATTTATTTATTTTTTGACAAATAATCTACTACTGAACTTTCCAACCGCAGCCAATATACATCCATGTCTTAAACAAGAAAATAAAAATTGTCATTGAAAACTCACAACAGCTTTTCTTGGATGGGAAGAAGCACATTAAATCAGCAAGACTGTTTCATCATGCAGCAAACAGTCATCTGGTCAATATAATTAACAAATTAATTGCTTCAAACGCAAATAAAATAAGTGTACCAGATAAAGCAGGAACAAGGAAAGTGCATTTTAAATTTTTATTTTAGTACAAATGAGTTATGTACACTCAAGACTATATCTAGGATTTATTAGATGCCATTGAAGTATCATATTAAAAATATGGTTGAAGACATATACCTCAGAACATTTTTTAAGTGCCTCAAACAAGAGATGACATAATTTGAAACTCTAAATGTTCCATTTCTGTGTTACGTTGAATGCAACATGGGACATTGCCATGTTTTAGTATAACTGGAATCTATTGGAAGGTCTCTAGGAGGTGTTTTACTTAAATGGCCTCAAACATCTAGATCCCTTCCCTATTCTATTGGTAAGGGCAAGTACTGCCTTCAGTCTAATCACATATTCCAAGAAAGCTTGTGAAAAAGTAAACCCACCTTAACTGTATCGAATGGATGTCCTACCAGTACACCAGCAGCACCTGAAATAAACAAGAGAGCACCATGAGACCATGCCATCGAGGCCATTTTGTAAAATAGAGATGCATTAAGGAATTTGCAAAATAGAAACGTTAAATACACCTTAGTGCAAGGTACTAATCCATCTACAGCGGGTGGTGAAATAGATCAGACACTGAGAGAAAATAAAAAGGATAGAATAACATTAAAATTGCAAGTCAATAAATAAATAAATAAATACTAACACAATAAGACCAATTAAAAAATAGCAGTAACTAGGGGGCCAACATCCCCACAATTACAACAATAGCACAATTGCACTTGGGTCACATATTCCACCTAAGCTAAGGCCTTGGAGAAAAAAACTAGGCCTTCAAGGCCTGTTATAAGGACCCCAAGTCAGGGCTGCTCAAACCTTGGGGCAGAGGGGGAGCTATTTCCAGGGGGCAAGCAGCCTTTGTGACAGAGGAAGGCATACCTCCTGAGTCCCACCAGATGGCACCACTTTAAAGATGGCTCCTGGAACACACCCACTCTGTCAGATGTAACTGGGAGAAAGGCAGTCCCTTAAACAACCGGGCCCTATGGCAGGGGTCTGCAACCTTAAACAGTCAAAGAGCCATTCGGACCCGTTTCCCACAGAAAAGAAAAGACTGGGAGCCACAAAACCTGGGTGGGCGCGGCCAACTCAATGTCACTCCCACCCAGTCACATGACACCCCCCCCCAGCCATTCTAGCTGACAAAAGGCCAGTTGAAAAAATGTAGAGGAAATGTTGCCACAGGGTCTGTAAAGCCACAACAGTAGATACCATCCGTGGACAATACAGCTGGGACAAAACAATGTTGTCACCGTCCTTACTATACTTCTAGAAACTACTTCCTGTCTTATCACATAACATCTAGTTCATCTAGTATACCTGAGTTTGCTAAAGACAGGCATGTTTAATGTTTCATGATTTAACAGCATATCATTGGCAACTTGAAATAATATAAGATGGTTAAGAGTCAAATGAAGGGGAAAAATGCCAAGCAAGGGAAAAGCCATCTCAAGCTCTTCACTAAACAGTTAGTTTTTTCCCCTTCCCCCAAGAAAAAAACTAACCTGAATAGTCAATCTGGCAAAGTATTCCTGAGCACAGAAGGCCATGCTTCCAATATGCACCCACCATGCAGTCCAAACAATACTTCTCTAATAAAGTGTTTCCCTACTCCCTGCTTTGCTGGAAAATACACGCTTATTCCAAAACTATTTAAAAAACCCAGTAAGCTGCATGTTGAAAAAACTTCAAATGTTTCATCAACCGATGAAACCAATGAGCCGAGGTGGCGCAGTGGTTAGAGTGCAGTACTGCAGCTACTTCAGCTGACTGCTAGTTCAGCAGATCAGCGGATCAAATTTCACTGGCTCAAGGTTGACTCAGCCTTCCATCCTTCCGAGGTAGGTAAAATGAGGACCCAGATTGTTAGGGGGCAATATGCTATTTAGTATACTGTCTTTGGTGTAAGCCGCCCAGAGTCCTTGGAGAATGAGCGGCATAGAAATATGACAAATAAAATAAAATAAAATAAAATAAAATAAAATAAAATAAAATAAAATAAAAAAGCCTTAAATTTATCCCTCATTGCACATGATAGAAGCTTGGGTTGGAAATGATTGCTTCCTAAACAGAGCTAAATATTTACTCTCTGGGCAAGCTTAAAGTTCCACTCTTTATAGGGCAGTGGTGGGATTAATTTTTTTTTACTATCGGTTCTGTGGGTGTGGCTTGGTGGGCATGGCATGGCTTGGTGGCCATGGCAGGGGAAGAATACTGTAAAATCTCCATTCCCAACCCACTCCAGGGGAAGGTGGCTGCAAAATCCCCATTTCCTCCCGATCAGCTGGGACTCGGGAGGAAATGAGGAATAGATGGGGGCGGAGCCAGTCAGAGGTGGTATTTACCAGTTCTCTGAACTACTCAAAATTTCCGGTACCGGTTCTCCAGAACTGGTCAGAACCTGCTGAATACCACATCTAATTATCATCTCTTAGTTTCAATGGGGAGGAAATCACCTGAAGCAGCACCAGGAAATAGGACAGGATGGCAAAGTTAATGGCTCCAATCTTGGAAACCTTTCAGGAGGACCAAAAGTCCTTTGGCTCCAAGAGAACCAAGGCTGCCTCTGATCTGAATGCCCAAGTTTAGGGCATTCTGCCAGTAGAAACAGCTATGATAGGGACATATGATCCCTGTCCCATCAATGAAGTTACTTTTTCAATATGTAAAACTACATAATTTGCATACTTGTAAGTTTTGTAGATAAATTCTCTGCATGTTCAGCTAGAAGACTGCTACAGCAGTTAAACCAGCACACAGGTTAATATTTCTGTACAGGCAAAACTGTAAATTTACCCAACACTAATTCAAGTGTGATAAGAAAAAATAATAGAAGTGGCTTATATGGTACCTTGTTTTCCCAAAAATAAGACATCCCCTGATAATAAGCCCAATCAGGCTTTTGAGCGCATGTGCTAAAATAAGCCTCCCCCTGAAAATAAGCCCTTCCCAAAAATATTTAAATATGGAGCTGGAAATCAGGTAAGACGGCCAGAAGAGCTCCATGTGCCCCAAAATAATAAGACCTCCCCAAAAATAAGGCCAAGCGCTTATTTTGGGGTTCAAAAAAATATAAAACAGGGTGTTATTTTCGGGGAAACACGGTAGTATTCTCAAATGATGGAAAATAAATTACGAAGCATCACCATAGCTCTAATACAAATCCTCTTCCAAAAGGTTACAAATGTCCTATTAAAAATTCAATCCTTTATTTTTATCTTCACAAAATCAGTACTCTGATGCTCTGAGCTAAAGAAAAACCTTTTGTGCCAAATAAAACCTCCCACACTCCTTATCAGGACAAAGGGGGGAAAATCCCACCCCTTTCTCTTTCTTTGCTAGAATAGATGTAAATTACACCTCCTCCTACATTTCTCACCCCTTTATCTTGCTTCTATCTTTTCTTCAGAAGAGCTTATCTTTTCCACCCAAATCTTGAGAGCCTGCTTTGTAGGAGGCAGGACAGATACACCCTGTCTGCAGGGCACTTGTGACTCCTGCATCATGTGAACAATTCCAACACAGGCTAAAAGGAAGGCAATGTCTACAAATCTGGGCTGCTTACATTACAATAAACTGATACATCTGTATGCGTTTGTTATAGGAAATGAGGACAAGCCTGGGGGGGGGGGTTACATACATATACATAAAAACAATTATCTTTGGGAGTAAGGCAGGGTTAAATCCTAAAACAAGTTAGCATTTGAAGTTCTTCTTTTAAAAACACAAATGTGTCCTGCAGCATTAAATATGTTAAAACCTTGCCAAACCATTTTTAAGTTACATTTAAATGACTTAAATGCTGGAGCTGAATTTCTGAAGCACAGCATGCTTGTCTATGTAAGACATAGAGAAGGTAGTAACTAAGGGAAGGATTCGATTGGCTAGAGATTACCAGCATCTCTGAATCAATATAATGCAACCATGGGCTAGAACCAGAAAGCTTCAAGTACAAATTTAAGGCACAAAAATGACTTTGTCTCTTTCGGTCCAACCTACTACTCACTGATTGCTTGCAAGAAAAATTAAAGAAGGGAGTACTATGTATGCCACTTTCAACTCTTGGCGGAAAGTCACATAAAAAACAAATAAATATCCTGTGCTAGAAATGAAAACAAGGGCGAGTACACTGGAAAATTTTATTTATATCATCGTGACAACAAAGCAACTTTGTTTTATGTTCTGGGACTTCATCAAAAACAACTATGAGGAAGTGAAATTAAATTACCTACATAAGTATTTTCTGAATGTTTTGAACAAATGCCAAAATTCCTGGGAGGCTATGACTAAAACCAGAAAGTTGTCAGAAAAGGAAAAAACAAATTGAAAAAGTTTTTCCCATGATTTTTAGTTTTTTACACTCCCACTCCCACACACACCCCGCCCCGCCCCCATCTGTAAAATGTAAAAGAGAATCTAGCTGGGAAATGCCGATTTACAATTTGCTATGTACTAGGGCTCAGAGTAACATTACCCCATTACAGCTTCAGATAAACTGATTATTAGAAGCTCCTTCTCATGTGATTTCACAATGAAAGGGACCCGAGAAATACTGTACTATGAATCTGTGTGGAGACAGTACAAATAAAAACCATAGTTTGAAAGGACCTTAAACACTTAATAGGAAAATTAATAATTTCTTTTTTAAAAAAATGGTCCCGCAATCACTGGAGAGAGAAGTCTGGTTGGGTCTGCTTTGGTGGAAGCAACAGCAAGAGATTCAAGAATTTTCTCTGTAAGAATTAATTTTTGTCTATTCTTCCCCAGTGGGTATTTATTTAGTTTCCAAGAAATGAAAGTGTATCCCATCTATTAGGGGGGAGGGAAATCAGGCAAAAAGAGCAATCAGGAGATGGGGGGGAAATGAGTTCTGGGCTGCTTTGGCCTTCAAAATATCTCAACTCTCCCCACTCCACAAATGGGGAGTCCAGATACTTGTTTTTAGTGTGACTTTAAATTGCAAGGCTACATCTAGGATTTCCATTTGTTCCATTACACTTACAACAGATTTTTCTTCCTATCAGACCCTCCTGACGGGTTTGGGCCACGTCCTAAAGCCAAAACCAGTTCCCGGTTTGGAAAAGTTTAAGTGGTCGAGGAGAAGATAAATAAAAGAGGAAGAGCCGGTTTCCGCTTTAGCACAATAGCCTCGCCAGGCTGTGGTGGCGAGTTCGCCGACCCACCCAAAGCCACCCCGTTTGCGAGCAGCCATTCCCCGATTGCGCAGTATGAAAAGCCAACCCGGCTCAGAAAGGGACAATGGGGGTCAGCAGAGGAGCGGCGACGCACCTCCCCAGGTGCACCGATCCCAACGAAGCGAGGACAAAAACGAGGCGAGAAAAACCACCGCTCACGTGGAGGCTTCGGATTGTCTCCTCCTCACCCCTCGCCCCCTTCCCCCCCACCCCCGCTTTCTAGGCGGCTGCGCATGAATGCAACACCTCCGGGCCTCCTTCGGGCGGGTGGGCAGCGCATCTTCACTGCAGTGCGCCAAGCCGCGGAGGGAGAGGTGGCCATCGCCTGCCTACCGCAGCTGCCTCTCTCTCTCTCTCTCTCTCCACCCGCCGCCCCGGATCTACGCAACCCATTCACCGTCGTGGCATGAACTATGTCAGCCTCGATCACTCCCCATCGCTCGGGGCGCCGCTTCTTACCTCCTACGCAGCCTGCGAGGAAATCCAGCGCCATGATCGCTGTGCCCGACGCGTCCTTTCAAACCTGAACCGTTTCAGATGCGTTTTTGCTCCGGGTTTGGGGTTTTTTTGTGTTTTTTTGTTTTTGGGGTGGTTGCGATGCACCTTGTGGCTCCGAGAACCGTAACGCGTTTCCTTACGGAATAAAGGCGGGGGTTGGGCTTCCTCCAAGGCCGAAGGAAGGCAAGCAATCCAGAAGCTCTTGGCGATGGGGAAAGTCGTCCTTTCTTTGGCTCCTCGGCTTCCTTTTGCGTTCTGACAGCGAGCCAGGGAAATCCAGGGCGCCCTTCGAGCCGGCGCGTTCCTCTCTCGATTGTCGCCAAACTGGACCGAGTCGTTTCTATTTCTGACGCCAGCGAGAGGAGGGAGTGGGGGGGGGGAGACCGAGCCTTATGGGGAAAAGGCAGCCTCCAATAGCAGGTCGCTTACGAGACAACGCCCTTCCAGTGAAGCCCTCCGCTCCGGCCGTTCATTGGACGATCCACTGGGCGGCATCGTGTCACTGGAAGGCAGCGGCTGCAAAAGGCTCGGAGCGGTGGGGAAGGAGGGAGCGCGCCGCCTACTAGAGCCGGGCGAATACCAGCCTCTGCTGTTGTGGCAGCGCATCTGCGCAAAGCCGGGCAGGTGCTGCGGGTTTAAGGCCGCTTTAGGGGAGGCGCGCTGGCTCTTATTCAATGGAAGGTGCGGGGCATCGAGGGCGCGGGGGGCTCCTGCCCAGCAATTCATGCTCGTGGTGGTGGTGGTGGGGGGATGAGAAGATCGTTCGTCCCCTCCAGCCAATGCGGATTGCAAACCGAGAAAGTGATCTGGGGCAGCCGGAGGACGGAGGCAGGAGAAGTTGGGATGAACGGGAAGGCCAAATCTGCCTGTTAACCTCAAAAGATAAAGCTTGCTTTCGATAGACATGCACAATCTTGCACAATGAAGCGGGTCGGCGATTTTGGTTTTCAGAAACGAAGACGGCCCGGGGAATTCCCAAGCAATTCCCAATGGCTGTATTCCTGTGGCATATTGAGCCACGAAGCAATTATTTTTTGGGGGGAAAAATAGAGCTTTAGTTTGTAGTCCAGTGTCGTGGGAACCCAGGATTAATTAAATAAACAATGATGGTTGACCGTGGGTATGTCTGTCATGCAGACGTTGCTTGCCAGTATTACTCAGTGCTTGTCGCCTGTAAATATTTTGGGAGGGTAGCTTTGTTAGTGTCACAATAACATCTGTTACGGTCTACCAGTATTACTCATAGCTCTCTGTTACGGTCTACCAGTATTACTCATAGCTCGTCACCTGAGTTGTATGCTGCCTATGAATATTTTGGGAGGGAAGCTTTGTTAGTCTCACAAAAAAACACTCAACAGGGAGTATTTTTTTTTAACCTTGACAACTTTAAGAAGTGTGGACTTCAACTTCCGGAATTCCCCATGTTAACAGGAGAATTCTGGGAATTGAATTCCACACATCTTTAAAGTTGCTGAGGTTGAAAAACACTAGTCTAGGATGTCCCAAAGGTGCTTTTTCAAGAGGCTACTGGGCTTTCTGGGCTTTCTTTCCTTCTTCAGCTCTGCAGTTTCTTGGACGAGAAGTGAAAAGTCTTAAAAGAAAAACCAGAAAGCCCAGTTGCCTCTTGAAAAAGCACGTTTGGGACAAGCATGAACTGGATGACTGAGAATCTCCATAGACACTAGTCTGGGCATTTATATCTCAAAGGACCTCATGGAGTATGAATGTTAACATGCTTGCAAAAAAGGCACAGAAGAGGCTGTACTTCCTGAGAATGCTCAGGAAGATAAATCTATCTCAGCATCTACTTCTGTCCTACTATCGCAGCACCATTGAGAATGTCCTGACATACGGCATTCATGCATGGTATGGGAGCAGCTCTGTGGCAGACAAAAAAGCTCTACAGAGAATCACTAAAACTGCCCAGAATATCATCGGGCTCCAGCTATCAGCCCTGGACGACATCTTCGAATCTCGCTGTTTGAGGAAGTTGCATAACATTCTCAGAGACTCTTCCCATCCTGCTTACAAACTTTTTGGACTGTTGCCTTCTGGCAGAAGATACAGAACAATTAAAACTCAGACTACACATTTTCTGAATAGTTTTTATCCCAGAGCTATAATTGCACTCAACAATGAACTAAAGGGCCACCATCAGTGAGCTGTTGGACAGCATTACTTGGTCTGCTGTGTGGATGCTTGGGTGGTTTGGGGTGAGGAATTGTGGTGGGTGGGAGTGTGTTTGGGGATTGTTATGTGTGTTGGACCTGGTCTTTGGGTGTTAAGTGAATTTCATTGTATGTGTATACTGTGTATACACGTACAATGACAGAGTTATTATTATTACTCTCTAGGACAACTTAGAATGCAACAATTCATTGTATAACCTTTTATAGAACACAATGGAGTAGCATAAGCTAAGAGCTGGGTATACAGAAGATACTGTTTCAGAATCATACAAACTACACTTCAGAGTGAATGCAAAGAGTGCATATGTATGACATGCTCAACTGTATCTGGCTCAGTCCATGAGTAAGTATATCCAGTGACCTGATGCCAAATGACCAGCAAACTAAGGATAGTTTTGATTTGCTTGGAAGCAGCTGTCTTGGCTGGTATTCCAGCTGCTTTTGCAATAGCTGGCAGACTGATGTTTCCTTGCCTTTTTAAAAAAGAAACTAATTGTAAAACCAACAAATGCCCTTCTGTGGTAGCCTGGTGGGCATCGTGGTCACCAGGAATAGCATGTCACACAGCAGCTTCTCTGCCCATTTTTCATCTCTGCTCTGCTCCTAAGTGTCTGCATGAAAAAAAAAGCTGGATAAGAAAGCACTTTTCTTTTATAGTTGCTCATAAATCTTCATAATGAATCCAGAGGCCAGAATAGTGTTGATTTTCAACTAATTTTCCATTTATGAGGAAGTTGAAAGGAGTAGATCTATAAGATAGCTTGCTAAAACTTGCAGTTTACGCCCTTTACATTAATCATGCTTTTACTTGGCTTTGTACAGCATACTTCATCCAGAAATAATCTAGCAGATAGTTTAGATATGACCATGCTATTGACTTTGACAGTTGGTTCCTGAGTCTTTTTCAAATAAACTTATTTAGTTTATGATGTAAATAATAGATGCCTTTTTTTTCTTTGTCAAAGTAAAATTTGCATTCATCTGTGAAATTTAAATTTAATCCCTTACTTTATTCCAGAGTTGCTCATGATGGAGCTTTATTTATTTATCTTTTCACATGACTTGTGCATGTTTTGCTGCATGAAATGAAAATAAATATAATTTATTTATATAATACTATTATATAAATTGTACTTACTTATACAACTAATATAGCGTATCATGACATTCTTTTCAAAGGCATTGATAATTTCTGAAAGCAATGGGAGAGACCAGGCAAAGGTCTACTCTCTGGCAAGGAGTTAAATATTGTTTTTCTCATTTGTATGTAAAATATCCATCAGAGGTTAACACTGAAATACCACTTAAAATACACATTAAGCTCGAAATTCCTCTTAAACTATACATTAATCTCACTATTATATGTTTCAATTATATTGATCTTACATTTGTTTCCTCTATGTGGTCACAAACAACACAGTTCTATAATTTACTTGGCTGTTAACTTATGTAGGAACTTTAACACCTCTATATATTGATAGCAAAATAATTTTGACTCCTTGTTTTGTACCAGTTTCAACTTCTGGATCATCTCCAAAGGCCGCTCTGCATGGAACATGTTATGATAGTCTAATAGATGAGGATTGGGAAATGAGTAATGTCATTTTGGCATCCTGGTCAAGATAGAATATTGCACCCACCCATTCTACTCCACCTCTACCATGACTTCCACCTGTGGTTCCAGAAAAAGCCAAGGGTTAAGGAGGATGTTTAAATATATAAATGTTATTAAATGTTTTAAAGATAAAACTAACAAAACTTAATACTAAATAAAGAACACAGGAAAAAACAAGACAAAGGTAGAAAAAGAAAAGTTAAAAAGAAATAGAAGCAGCTTCTGATTTTCTTTGCAGCAAATACCGTTTCCCCAAAAATAAAACATCCCCTGATAATAAGCCCAATCAGGCTTTTGAATGCATGTGCTAAAATAAGCCTCCCCCCCCAAATAAGCCCTCCCTGAAAATATTTAAACACAGAGCTGGAAATCAGGTAAGACGGACCTCCCCAAAAATAAGGCTTATTTCGGGGTTCAAAAAAATATAAGACAGGGTCTTATTTTCAGGGAAAACATGATACAAGTATAATTACAAAGTTATCCCTTACTCTACAGTTCCAAAAAAGTTCACCTTTTTCACATATTTTTTTTCCTAATCATCAAAACCACATGTCACAAGCAGGGTGGATTTGATTTAAATCGAGTTGATTTAAATCACAATTTAAATCATGATTTAAATCACTAGTAAAAAGGCTTGATTTAAATCAACTCGATTTAAATCATAATTTTTAAAGAGCAACTGTCATCTCTGCTACTCCTTTGACCCACTGTTGACTCACCGATAGTCCCAGTGTTGCAGAATATACAGCCTCATGCTACATAACTAAGCTCCATTTCATGCTGAATAAACTAAATTATTTATGTATCTTAAATAGAAAACTATCTTACAATAGATTTTTACCCCAAAAGTTTTTTATTAAAATAAATTCGATAAAAATAAAAAAAATGTGATTTAAATCAAAAAAATCCGACTTAAATAAAAAAAATCTGATTTTTTTGATTTTTTTAAAAAAATCATTGATTTTTATCCACCCTGGTCACAAGTGCATTTTTTGTTTCATGCAAACAGTTTGTGAGGTGTTTCCAGTCAGCCATAAATGTCAATGAATCAAGGAAGTTAATTTACCCATCTCTGCAAGTTCCATCATCTTCATCAACCATTTTTCTGTTGTAGGTAATGTTGAGCTTTTCCACTATCAAGCATATAATAATCTGGCTGCAATTGTCATATATAAAAACAAAGTTCAATGTCTTTTTTGTAACTGTCCAGACCCAAAATAAAAGCCTCTGGTTTCAATTGTATAGTAGTCTTTAAAATCTTCTGAATTATTGTATGCATTTATATCCACATTTTTTGTTTTTACACATCCACCAGACCCAAAAAAATGTCCCTTCATATTCACATATCCAACATAAATTTAAGATACACATGCTAGACAATTTATCTGGTGGCAAATACCAATGGTACATCATTTTATAAAAAAATTCTTTCAAACATAATGTAAATTTCAGCCCTTTCAACTACATATTTTCCCATTGAACCATTTATATATTATAACCAAAATTATTTTAGCCCATTTTGTCATGCACTCTCACTTGTTCTTCTGTTCAAGTTTCCACAAAAGTTTATACATTGTAGCAATAATGTTCTTCTGTATTTACAAATTTCTGTTAAAACATTGTCAAAACCATAAAATGTTTTATCCACTTCAAACCTTT